ATTGTCCTCGGATGGGAAGTGAATCAGAGGAATAGTTGCCGGTGGCTCAGGAATCCACTCAGCCTCAACAAGCACGTTCGATTCCGGGAGTTTTGCCAAAGAAGTGACCTGTGGGAAGGGGACAAAGCGGATTCCACGTGCGAAATGCAATTCGGAGAAAATGAGACACAGCGCATAGTTCGGCACCAGCCGTGAACAAAAAGGGATAAAAAAGGCATATGAACAGTGTATAAACATATCTCGGAGCGCATATCTCACATCATCATCCCAAAACGAAACACAGTGTGAAACGAACTTCACTGATTGTTGACAAACTGACAATGCATATAAAAGTTTAGTTTTATGTAAGGTGGACAGGGATCGAACTAATTTTTAGGGAGGGAGGAGAGAGTGAACCTCTATGGTGAGCACACACAGAGTACATAATCTAACAGTGTATAGCTTGGTAAGAAATGACACCAAGAACACCACTGTTGTCCGTTCGTGGTCATATTGTTCATTGCATACATCGGTTTGTGCGATGAACAACAGACACGGTGGATCCCATTGTTACGAAGACCCACTGTTCAATGATGGAAACCGGTAACCTAAGCTACAGGATTTAGAATGGCGAACCTCGTAAGGCCCGGCTAGGTATTTGTGTTTGTATAATTTGTAAGCTAATATGCTTACAATTCAGGTAAAAATGTACATTGTTAGGTTAGGCGTGATATTGAACCGGACGACAGCAAAGCTGCCTATCACCAAAGTTCGGTGGCGGGGCTCGAACTCGTGGACCACAGGGTTTGAAGCATGCCGATGACAGCGACTAGACCTCTGCGCCACCAACCGCTCACCGAGTCCTTCGGATCCCAGCCTGGAAGGCGTGAGACATCTACTCCACTCAACTTATAGCTCTGTGCATTTCTTCATGCCTTATAGCTGCGTTATCTGCTGACCTACAAAGGATTCCCTCCAGCCCGGAGCGGTGTGACAGACGACAGCCGGGCATAGGCAATACGTGCACTGGGCAACGAACTGTACTACTCTGAGTTCGATGAGCTAGTGAACTTATCAGGGATAAACTTCGAGATCAGACTATTTATTTCCAAGTTAGAAAGAGCTGAGGCCCAGTCTCAACGAAACCAACAACTGTTTCGTCCCCGTAGATGATGCATACATAAGCAGTTAGATCACCGAATTCCTGGACGACAGATAATTATCCCCAACTCATCTGTATCTATCTACCTAACTATATATATATAGGACTACAGAGTAACTGGGTTAAAATGCCAAATAAATGGAATACTTAGTAGTATGAACTGAGGTCATTTGTATGTGTATGCGATCATTTCACTTCCCCATCCGTCCCCGGGAGAAAAAAACAGATCAGGAAGAACAAATTGATCAGCTCCAACTCACCAATCCGGAGAGTGAGAACGCAACACGTTTGGCCATCACTTCGACTCGTACAGTGACACCTTCGGACACGGTGATTGGACTCGCGTGACCAGCCTGTTCCGCTTTCGGTTTGATCACGGTAAAGAAGTACTCTTTCATCATCGGACGGAGATAGTATTGACCTGGGGCGGGGTGGGGGAGTGGTCACGTTCAAATACGATTCATAATATATATATATATATATATATATATATATATAAAACATGGCATTGGGATAATCGGTTTTCCGTAGTCGGATACGCATGCGCCTGACGAGCGAAAAGAACCGCGAAATCGGTCATGCGCTTCCCGGGAAATTTTGTTCAGCCATTCACACACTACTTATTATGAAATATATGAATATATTACCATTCTGAGAACATGATGTGAACGGAAAAACAATGATAATCATGGAGCGAAGAAAGGTGAGATGGACCAACCGAATCTAATGTTGAGGCTGAGTTCTCCATACCTCTACGTTAGATCATGGTCTGACCAATGCGGCTCTTCTTCCAGCCTCGCCCGGCACGTAGAAAGAGTAGTTATTGTCATTACACAGACGTGCGCACGGATTGGATGGAGACTGTGAGCGTCTGTGCTTGTACACTGGAGCGTTTGGTTTACACCACACAGAAATCTACGCCACCGATCTAATTGTATCTGTATTAGTGAAACTGAGAATTCGATTTGGGCCGTATTTGAGAACCTAAACATCTAGTGGATGAGATGCACCCAGATGTCCAAATTGGTTGTTTCTAACGAGCAATCGATGAGCACTGAATAGATAAGAAAAATACAACACACGAGACCGGAAAAAAAGTCGGAACTGACCAGGTGCAAGTCCAACAAAATGGGCCAGACCAGATTTATCGGTAAATTCATTGCCTCGATGACCCTCACCAATGATGGAAACCAAAACACCTGTGGGAAAAAGGAATGCGAGAAAGTCAATTTCAAATCATCTCTATCCCAAATGTTGGTTTGTATGTGCATGCATCACAAGTAACTGGAGCGAAACGCTGATCACCGGACCGGGAAAGGTCAAGTTCACACAATAACATGAAATAGTTTACGTAGTCAAAAGGAATCACAAGTCGTCGTATTTCAAATACCCCTCAAAAAGAAGCTAACGATGCTGATGCATAAACTGGGATAGACATAATACATCACCCCTTTGTACACCATCAAGAAATGATAGGATAAGACTACGTGTATATATCCCCGAAAACGGTTTCACCATAAGTGCGTGTGCTGCACCTAAATAAGCTCAATTTGATTTGGGCACACCCTTTGGTGGGATGAACACCAGACGGGATGGAACCCCACAGTCGCAAGCACCTGTCGTCCCCGCATGGCAACTAACAAACAAAGCACCGAGACTTGGAGTAGTGAACCACATAACGCCCCGCTAGTTCAGGGATGGTACTGAATCGGACAAAGGTAAAGCGCATTACCACCAAATTTGGTTGGCGGTAGCAGGGCTTGAACCTCGGACCATACCGGTGACAGCGTTAAACCCCTGCATCATTACCAGCACCCGAACTGTACAGTCAATACTCAGGAAGTGGGTTGCGATCAGTCAATAGTGGCCTGATAACGTAGAGTACTGGAGCGAGATGATTAGGCTCGTCATCAGGATGACCTTAATCGCTTGACTACTAACATCCTTTATTCTCACAAACAGAACTCATTATGCGATGGAAAAGTTTGTGATAACCAACAAAGAGCACTGGACAGTCGTGTCGTCCTGTTTGGGACTCGTCAGCAGTGCGCGTACTCTTTGTGTCCCTGTCAGGACTCGAACCACGATTCTTCGGACTGGGACTTCAAACCCATACGCTTGAGCTCATTATGTTATATTAAAACGAACTCAGTTCGTCATTTTAAATAATTTTATTATGCCGCCTATGTTGAAACCTGTTCCCTCTCGCAATTACGGAAACTGGAAACCTAAGCACCAGGAATTAGTTAGATGTAGTATTGAGCCGGACAATAGTGAAGCTGTCAACAAAAATCTAACGGAGCTAATTGATTTATATCGATTCGAACATGGGGATCAAGTTGTCTGAGATGTTCCATTGAACAGCACAAGCTCAGGCACTTCGTTGCATCTATCACAGTTCGGTGTGCGTGGGAAAATCTGATGGCACATGATCGTGTCGATACGTTTGGCCCATGCATGACTTGGATGAACCGTGATCAACGGTTTGTATTGCACAAAGCGATTAGGACGTTTCGACTAAATCATGGATATTAGTCTGTCCATTTGAACGACTGGTTAGTCGCAAGTTTATTGGTATTTAGGCAACTGAGTTACACAGAGAGAGAGAGACCAATTGCAGTGATCCAGAGAAGTGTAAACTGCTAGTCATCCCATGCATCAATCGAGCAAATGTGAAACGAAGATGATGATGATGATGATGATGAGAATAACCTTGTAGAGGAATCTCAGAGGCCCGGTCGGATGTGGCCCGTTCGTCTGCGTGACGCACTACAACCTCCACCAGGGACAGTTTGGTTGCTTTAAATCGCCAATTGGATGCGGTCGGGGAGGATGAACCGGACGGGACCCGCTTCAGTGCTGTAAACTCATATCCAGGTTTGCTCAACTCGACTGTGAACCATTCGGTTGGATCTGTGGGCAAACGATAGAGAGCTGGTGGTGATCCGGACTGGTCTGATACCAACTGTGGGGGAATGGGGACTGGGCCGAACAGGAAAGTCCCATCCAGATCGGTGATCACAATCTCGATCGGACGAGGCGGTTCGGAATTCACGCCACCGGCGCCGGTGGTTTGATTCACATCCACTTCCGCGGACTGTACTCGGGATCCTGTGCTACTCGTTCCAGTTGGGTGAATAGGGAGAAGTGGTTCGGTCGTCAGAGGAATGGATGAATCCCCAGGGAGCCGAGTGGACTTCGCGAATAGTTTCACCTCGGCCTAAAAGGATGAGGACGGGGTTAAATCAAATGGAGACCGAAAAAGTAATTGATATTGTGTATTGCAATTGGAAAATATAAATACATGATGATATGTCAAAATAGTGTTGAAAGCTCAAAGGTGACTCCGGCTATTTTTTTTATAAACAGATCACAAAAATGAAACACAATTCTTGGGCACACCATTCATAAGAAGGCAGCGTCAGATTGCAGAACGGTTGGCTGAGTCAAAAGCCGCTTTGGGGAAAACGGACAAACGAAGAGTTTTAGGTGATCACGGTCTTGCACTGAAACAAATGGTCCATTTCCATAAATTACACTGGTTGGGACATGTGTTGTGCACGTCACCACATAGGTTGCCACAGCACGTGAGGTATGGTAAAAGTTCAAGGATGGTCAAACGACGACCTGACATGAGGGTATGAAAACCCTAACCAGGAAACTGGGTCACATAGGCCCCCTGGCTGGGGACCTCGGGATGATCGTAACCGATGGTTAGAGACACTGAGCGATATGGCTGGGTGTCGCAAACAGTGGCACTCATGCATCTACTAATTATTCCCGTAACATCAGTCTATATGAATTCTCTATCTTCCACTTGAGTTTGCTTTCAACATTCCCATCTTCATGGTGTTCTTCTATTCAAATGGGCGCTCAAAAGAGAGCAACGAAAACTGGCGCACGAAAGCGAATCGGTAGTGGTTGTAAAAATTGAAAAACTGACACAAGACGATAAAAAAAGTGCAAGAAATAGCAATTGTACGCACCGAAAATCGGATCGATGGGATTGAAAGTTCTGTTATACAGAACACTAAACAAGGAAAAATGATAACTTAAATGCGACAGAGATCTTTGTGATGAACGAGAACGAGAGACAGCGATTTCGAACTAGATCGGATTTTTCAGTGGTGTACTATTCGTGCCTCTTCCCCCCCCCCCATGTCGGGGTTTGAAGATCATCAACAGTGCCTGGTGATTGTGAAAAATAAACGAATGAGCTAATCCAAAAATTGTGCGCTTAAAGATGATAACACGATTTAGGTCATCATACGGAAAATATCAGGCTGAGTGAGGGAAATTATGGTCTGGANGAGCGAATCTGATCAATCACGAAATTTCGGGACCATTCAGTCTGCTAGAGAAATCGAAATATCGCATTTGTAAAGCGGTTACTTTTTCTGTTGAAGCCTGACGGCTGTTGAAATAAGATGGGAATAGGCATTTATGACAAGCATTTTAGCACACATTGGTGGCACACTCTTAAATTGTCTATCATAGATAAATTAAACAATACAGTATCATGGACAACAAGAACACAAAACGATCCCATTGAAAACTTCGGGGATTGGACTAAGTGAGTAGATGTTGGAACGGTGAACGATTAAACAATTTTACTAACTTGTAGACCACCGTAGCACAAAAACAAAGCTACACAATCAATTGGTTTCCGCATTGACTTGTCTAATGCGGGAACAGACACAATTTTGAAGCATTCAATGTCGCTTCTTCAAGACAATTTGACTAGTTTTATGTGTACCCTAATATGATCCCGCAACAGACGAACTGTATTTCTAACCAGGTAAACATGTAATCGGATTATGGGTTTGTCCGATTAACCGGACAAGCAACTGGTTGTCCTAAAAAGCGAAATGTGAAATTCGTCATATCGAATGGCAAAAGCGAAATATTACGTGAATGCGATCTGAGTACGGGAATTCATAAAGCAGTTAAAGTGTTGGAATTGTCAAATTTGACGGAGTGTGCGCAGACCTGAATTCAAAAGGGATAAGTGTAGGCATCAAATAAGAACTGGTACAAATAGATACATTACAATAAGTAGTATATGAAGGCGTGGACAAAATTTCCCTGGAAGCACATGACGGGTTTTGCGGTTCTCGCCGCTCTTCAGGCGGGCTTATCTGGTAGTCTTTTATCTTTTCAATCATATACTTGTAAACATGTGATTGTGCCGAATATATTTATATAGGAATGTTATTAAACCAGACAATTGGGGTTATTTGTCCATTGGCTCTGTGGAGTACGCCAATTCGGTGAGTACGCTCCGATTCAAACTGACCTTTTGCACAATCGGATGTGTCTCTCCGAAAAGTGTCACACCCAAATCCAATGTGAACTGAACTGTGAGATCCGTGTGGAACAACGAGCTGCAACGTGTGAAATCCGTTGGAGTCTTTGGCGCGGTCGCTGTGGCCGCCGGGGGTGAAGTAGTCGAGTGAACAAATGTGAACAATTGTGGTGTCGGCGGTTCCACGACGCTCTCAGCGGGGACGGATGCATTCAAAGTGACCGGATCCGTGCGAATCAAGTACGTGTAGAACCATCTACCGGGAATTGCTTTGGCTGCATGCGGTTTGATGTGAACAGATTGATAAACATCGATCCAGGCAACCGCCTGAGCAACCGGAGGCGAATCGGTTGGCTGCGAGTTAGACCAACTGCAACGGAATGAGATGACAGGTGGGCAAATGAGAATGATCAAACCGCCACAACCAGGAAGGTGTCTGTCTGTGTGTGTGTGAGTGGAGACAAGGGTATAACCAGACTACTCTAAATGGTAATCTTCTTGGTGAACGCGACACAAACAAAGTCACGCGCGCGTGCACGAGCACGACGACGTTCAACGCACGTGGCGCAGTGGTTTGGTCACTATCACCGACCTACTCCGGACCCTGTCCTCCAAAGTTCGAGCCCCACAATCGCCACCCCACTTTGGTGGTAGACAGCTTTGCTGNTTGCTGTCGCCCGGTTCTATACCACGCCTGACCAATCGGAGCCTTATGTGGTTCACCACTCCAAGTCCCGGGAATCAGATTGCTGGTTATCATGATCTTCGTGACTATGAGGTCCGCCCCGTCTGCTGTTCATCACATGTTGGTGTGTAATAAAAAAAAGTGTGAGTCAAAAAGTAAAAAGAGACCGATGGCGTCTGGGCTTCTGTTCGAAGCGATCAAAACAAACCAGCG